CATTCTATGCGTTATTATTCTAAGAGTAAAACTAAGTTTTCTAGAAGTTTACCTACAATGTTAAGATAGAACACAACCAAATAATCACACAAGTTAGTGATGTGTAGCGTTTGCGGGTTAAGTTACATTTGTCAATAGGCTTTAGTATCGCTCCCATTCCTAAGCAAGTTTTATCAGAATTACCTGCAACGTTCGACTCGCCAGTGAGGTGGCTAAATGTCATCACTATAATGTACAAGATATCCGGTAAGAGGGGGGTGACAGCTTTTGTCAAAAGTTAACTTCTTTGAGCGTACTTCTATGGACCACACTGCCGATTGTTAGCACAGCTATCGGGTATCCAGAGTGCATTCGGGGCGTTGACTGCATCAGTACTTTCTGATTATGCAGGGTTTATTTATTAAATACTAACAACCTCGCCGGACTACATTACTATGATAAACAGTAACTTTTGTTCCTTGATTTTTTACAAAACATAACATGTACTACCTGACATTTTTTACCTTTTTACTCTTTCTGTTCTTACCGCACATAGTTATTACCGTTTAGAGTGATCTATTTAAATATTTTTATTTTTGTACGACAGTAAAATCTGACGAATTATTAAAAACCATGGCACAAGAGTTGTTGTTTATGATGTTAGTAATACAGTCTTGCGAGGTTGCATACATATAAACAGCTATTCGCTAGTACCGCAGTTGCGGGTGCAGCTTGTAATGGAAATTTCATAGGTCGCACTGTCGCTTGGCATCAGATGCTATTGTAGCCAAGCGTGTGATTATACAAAAAAAATCCGTGTGAAAAAAAATGCGTGAACATACAAAAACGCTTTTAAGAAAAGTAAAGCTATTACCACATTAAATACAGGGTGTAAATAAAAGTATGCATAAAATATTAGATGTTGACTTTTTTACGATAACGAATTAACAATTTTCACTACAATGCCTTTACCATGAGATTACAGTGACAGTTTCGCTAGCGACCGCGTAATATGTTCGTACACAAAATTGTTGTTTCTTTTTGTGACCGCTAGGGGCGCTGTATAATTGGCCATAGAAAATTGTGAAGTAAATTACGCGATCGCTAGCGACAACTGTAGTGCGATTCACGTAAGTTCAAGCTATCAAAATATCGTTGAAGTTACGTAGTCGTTCGATCGAAGTCCTATCCAAAATGGGTATTCGCGTATCACTTGAACGAACGTTGATATGAGTAGAATCGAAACGTAACGACTAATGAACGACATCTTGGATTGTGAAATTTGACATTTAGTCGTCGAAAGTCTATTGAAAGAACTGTCAAAATTTTAGCAGAATACGCACGACTTGTCGTTTAGAGTCGCTTTAAGTTCGATTATTATACCACAATACGCTTTAACGACATTTGGATGGAACGACTTTAAAATTGGACTCGTTGACGTTCACTGTCACACGTGAATACGAAAAAGCAGTTCAACGACTAAAATCGCTACGATATCGTAACGGTTTGATTACATGAATCACCCCACTGTTACAGTAAACTCGTGGTAGGAGAACAGCATAATGGATGTTAATGACTTTTCAATACATGTTTTAAAACTGTTGTGATTGGTTATCACTAGTTACAGTATCTTTCCACAATCTGACACTTGAGTCGATGATCTTTCTGTCTACATTTTGTTTATACCCTGTTTATTATCCACTACTTACGGGACACCTCGTATAACAGGTAATTTACTATGACCATATTGCTGAAGCGTAGTGATGAATGTACCACAACCCTATTATTTCCATTTATTCTTATAAGTTATTGCCTACAGCGAAATAATTCATCTAAAGAACAATGTATACTTCGTTTTTTTTGGCAGAATTCCAGTCAGGTACTCTTGGAATCGAGTAAAATATTTCATATTTAATATCGAAACGATTTCCAACTAATTCATGTGTAAGTTAAATTTTGTTTCACTTGAAACTACATAACATAATACTGTGAGCGTTAAACGCCATGTTTTTATTTTTACAATGTTAAATCGTTAATCTAAACGAGAAATAACAGTAAATAATTCAAGAATATTTAGAGTATTAACATGTCTTTTGTAAGGAATACTGTCCCAAAATTTATTTCAATTACACCGGAAAACTAAATAATTCTCATAAATGTAGTAGAAAATGTCACAACCACGAAATGTTTGGAGAAGTTTATAACTTTTTTTACAACTTTAAACAGTGTATTAGACGTAGATCCGATTCAGAGCAATTTTACGTACATGTGGTACAGGTGAGCAATTTGTTTAATGCTCTTTTTAACAGGTCGTCATTATCCTACATGCTGGCCATCAATGAGGGTCGGTTAACTATCATACAAGAGCGTGAAAGTCACACTTTACACAGTATATATCAAAGTACATAGGCCGATAACATTGAAACGATAGACCATGCAATATCACAACACGTATAGAGGTACACGTACATACACTTTACATTGATCATACAAATAATGTACTTACTATTTAAAATTAACACGTAAAGTATCAAATAATGACATATTCAGATCTATTAACAACAAGGAGTTAGACAATAACATTACCAACATAAAATAATAGAACATTTGAGCATTTCAATAATGTGTTTAAAAAAATATCCCTCCGTAGATTATAATTTTGTAGAATAGTAAGATCAATGTTGATAAATTAACAGTGACTTTCATATATTATCGATTGTACTTGCGTTTCAGAAGAACTTAATACGATGATGATGTGGGAAATTCGTTGTATGCTAAAGTCTGTATGGAACTACTCTGTTAACTTGCTAAAATTGTTGTACTTTTCATTTGTGCGTTTGAGTTTAAATAAAACTAATTACCATTGATCTTACCACTTCCACAGATAGAATTTAGTCAATAATTTGTTTAAAGTGCGGTAATATCGATATGTGACTAGTAGGTACGGATATTGAATTGAGTTCCGTTTATATTAACTATCTAAGCAACGCCTAAAATAACAAGTGCGCCCATAAATTTGACTAAAGACTAGAAAATTAACTGAAAACAAAAAAGCTACAAAATAACAACAATAATGAGCAAACAAGCAAATGTAATAGTGAGCTGGGCTCGCAAAAATGAAACAATTCAAATAGAAACGAGGTAGTGTAGTTACTACACGATTTATGTATGTATCAAACACATTGTAATACTTATAGTTATGATCTATGTTTATCTCGAATAGAGCTCGCCTATCGATTTAAAACGTAGCGCCAACAACCAACTACATTTATTTACAAAATCACACTTGCAAAGTCACATTAAGAAGTCTGTCATTTAAAAACTTTATGAAGAACTATCTATTTAGGTATCAATTGTTATACAAAATATCTTTAGCGCTCTCTTCAAGCTTAGCATCACGATAATTCCGAAACAATTAGTAGGTAGGTATTTATTGTTAACCATACGGGTCTCCCGAGCTATATCTTCTCTAGCTACTAGTCACTACGTCGCTTTTCCTAGATCACGTTTAATTATTATATAAATGTATACTGTAGTTATAGTAAATGCTTTATCGATTCAGCATTTCGTCCGAGTCTGAGCGAGTCGCTCGTGTGTGGGCGCACCCAGGCTCGTGTGCCAGGGAGAGCGTGTAGAGGCGTGTAGAGGCGGGCCGCGGGTCACGCGCCGCGTCTTTTGCTCTACAGCGCGAGTTAGCACGCGAGTGGCGGTAATCGGTTGGTGATTAGTCTTGGGGCACTGACGGCGCGCGGTTGCCGTGGCCCTGATAGTGAGCAAGGAGTCGGTTACTGAGCAGGCGATTTGCTGTGTTCAGCGGCCGCGTGGGATTTTTCATCGGATCTCTCGACCTTTTCATAAGGTTTTTCGAGTTTTTGCCGTTTCGGCTCGGCGTCGAGTGGCCGGTGCGACTTCATGTGTGCGCTACGACTTTTTACTTTGTTAAATACTCTGAAACATAATAGGGTACACTATTAGATACGGCAACAAAAAAGTTAGAAAGCTTCAAAATAAGGAAATTAAAGTACAAAAGCACACTGCAAAAAAGCAAAGCTTAAGCGTTAGTGCTGTGAAAAACCTATATACATACAACATTAATACACAAAACTCTTTAAAATATTAATCCTAAGATAAGTTACGACAAATAAATTATAAATATACCATTAAATCTTTATTGTAATGGACACAAATTCACTGTCTTAATGTTTAATTAAATAAAAATATGTAAGTACGTTTGTGTAATTATATTTACAATCATCGATGTCATTTATTCTTACAATTTATTCATCATAGCATGGTGGAAATTACCCTATAAATGTCTAGATTATTCCTCCCTGCGTCAAATTTAGGAGCGGAATAAAAATGTAATGTATTTCGATGAAAGAATACCACGCTCAGATTAATACATTACCTACACAACAAACAATTATTTAATTGTGAATTTAATGCAAATATTAATTTTCCATGCAATCAACATCAATAACACTGAAACTCTACACTGGCTCAGAAAATGTCGTGTTTTGAACACTGAATCGATCTATTTAAAAAGTTTTATACAGCATTTACTGGACCAGCGCACATATATTAACCTATCTTAATGTATATTTCTCATTGTATTAGTTATATAAATACTAAGCTGTATAATAATAATCTTTAAATTCTTATTTTAGTGCTGCAGGCACAAAAGGCAATTTAGGTGAAACTTAACGTTTGCGAACGAATCTTTAATTCGCAGCAAAGTACGAAACTTGTGGACATCAAAGCGGAGAGGAGTTTAGAAGTGGGGTACGGAGCATGTTCCACGTAAATTGCGTTTGCGCATTTGCTGTCGATGTCGACGTTTAAAGCGGTATGCTGGCGTGCTCCGTGTTTGGGCACTTACTTCCCGCAGATCTTGCATGGAAACTCCTCGCCTTCATACGAAGTTGGAGACGATGTACACGACGCCGCGTTATGTGTCGACACTTGGCCTACTGAACCCTGGATGTGGACAAGTCGTGTTAAGATCCAACCTAACTTCCTAATCACTCCTCAAGCTTGAAGACAAGAAATGGCCCCGTACTGGTGGCGGTGCTTACTTGTGTAGCCTGTTGTTCCTTGTGCCAGCTCCTTAGGTGTAGTATCTTGTAGTCTTTGGTTACCTTCTTCCAGAAGTAATAGAACTGCACGCATTGTTTTGAATCTTTTGTTCTTATCTGAAATACATTCCAATACGTTTGCTTTAAAGGAAAAATGCAATAGCAACGTAACAAATAAACGTATTAATTCCAAAATACTTAAGCTCTACAATAACGTATAGTGTGTAGTGTATTTTACCAGTTGCGCAATTCTGTAGAAGTCCTTATCGTAGTGACTGAGTCCAGCTAAGAAGGCTTCAACTTCTTCTGGCGTCCAACGTGACTCGTGTTGCGAGGGAGCGGCTGGTCGTGACATGAGTCGCAGTGTTGCAGCTCTGATGTCACCTCCGCACTCGCCCAGAGTCTGCAGGGCGTATTCTCGTGTGTGACCTCCGACTGGCATGGCCGCGCACATTGCTAGCTCCATGAACATGCGCACTGAGGATGCAGGAATATAGTAAAAGATACAATCGAAAACAGAATTCTAGTAATAAGAAAAAGTACGAGTAGATATATATTATTATTACCTTCGTTATCATCAAGAGCATCATTAATGCCAGGGTCCCAAAGAAGCTGTTCAGGAACTCTATGGAGATCTATGCGGTTGTTGCAGAGTTCGGGTATGTCTACTTGGTGGTCCCTGCCAATATTGATTTGTGGTGGTCGCGGCTCATCTAGTTGAGACAGTACGTCTGTCTCTGTTGTTGGTAGACCTGAAACGAACATAATATACAGTCAAGATTCAAGAAAAAATAACTATTTAGTTATGTAATAGATTTAAAAGTAGGTGAATAAGTTACCTGCTGTTAGTTCCACGAACAGCCCAGAACCAGCTCGATCCGGAGGCAGTATGGGTTGCGGTGTATAATGATCGATAGTTCGCCGCAAGCGAGATCGATAAGGTCCAGCTGGAGATGCTCGTCGTTTGCGTCTTTGAGGAGAAGCTGGCACACTGCTTGGACTTAGGAACACTGCTGGTGCTGTGTCTCTGCCTTCAACGCACACCTGATACAAACGAAGAATCACTAGTTAAGATTCTTTATGGGAAGCGATCACTGTATCCGAAACGATATGCGGTTCCTTTGTTTACCTGTAATGATGTGTCTTGCTGCCAATGATGCATAGGTATAGTAGAAACCATGCGCTGGAATCGCCTCATTGGTCGTTGATGTGAGAAGTCTCGAGGACTGCTGGACAACAATGGATCTTCAGAGTTCAACATAATTTGCCGGGGTGCTGGCGATGGTTCTAAGGCGTAAGCATCTAGTGATCTGCATTCTTCAGGCAAAACTTCCTCTAAGGCCTCTTCCACCTGAAACGATACAAAATTATGTAGGTATGATGAAAGGACTTTACTAGAAACTTTAAGTAAGCTCAAGGCAGCAGATGGTAAGACATGGATTACAACACACCCACTTACAACTGCCAATGTGCTGAACAACTGATTACCGACAATAAAACACATCGGGCATCGGGCAGTTTTGCATCTGACTAAAATGGGGTTTTCCTAGCACTTTTACAATGGGGTCGGGACATACTAGTCCTGTACCTGGACGATATCTTCTGGGCTTGCCTAGCATTCAGCTATGTACTTGAGAAGTGGAGAAATATGACAGTGCTACGTATCAATCAATTTACTATAGTTAAGACAATTTACAATGTCGACCATAAATCGGCAAATCGGTGTTCGGATGATTCCAAGACAAACTTAGGTACAAATATTGGGGTGTTCTCTGAAATCAATCAATCTGTATATCACGATTTCAATACTACTTAGAACACTAAGAACGACATTTCAGGCCAAGTGAATTATAGTCATTATTATGTTAAGTGTGTACGCATTAAGTTGTCTCTAGAGTCCTGCGGTAAGTAATTACCGCAGGAGGCGAACAGAATCACTTCATTCGTATGCTCCCCGAAAGCATGCCAGTATTCCAAGCCTTGACTAGGTATGATTTAAACACTGGGCTACGGTTGTCACAGTTTCACTGATGTACTGGTAATGATGTGACCTTACAGTGGAATAAGATACATCCCGGTTCACCTGACAATAACGCAGGAGATAAACTAATCTGCGACCGAAACAACATTTAACGCCAGACTACCACAAAAATTCCTTAAACTAAAACTACGACAGCTCCGTGCTTTGACTGCTGCTTTGCTTCAAGGGTCATTGTCCATATAATAAACATTAATGTAAGCTTCTCCATGTGCAGAGAGTGCAAGAAGATGGGGAAAAGAGCCGCGCAAGTTCTCTCGTGAGTGGCACACTTTGGCGTACGAAGGTTTTCTAAATCTTTAGCAACCCTAAAAAGACTTTGAGATTTTTGGAGGAACCAGAATTGCAGGCGTAAGACTCTACACCAATGTAATGCAAAATAGTGGCTGAAATACTACAAACAGTCCGCTCTAACACATAATGATTAAAAAACTTCCAAAATAACGGATTATTAAAAATCTTATATGGCTCACCTCTTCCTGACTGGACATAGTAGCAGTAAAGAAGGCAGCTGACAGCGGTGATGAGGCACGCGGTACAGTATGTGCCGGTGACTGAGCATCGTGAGATCCTGGCGGTGTGGGATATGCTAAACCAGGAGACGATTCAGGTTGAGTTGAATAACTTCCTCCCGGGGATGTGGCCGTATAACCCAATCCGGGAGAGTCTCCAGTGGAATAAGACAACACTGGGGAATTAGCTGTATAACCGATTCCCGGTGATGGCACAGGTGACCCACCATGACAAGCTCCAAAATCAGCTAGGGATTCTGGCAAAGGCGAGTTCAGTACAGCAGCAAGGCGTTTATTGGACGGGAAAGTAACAGGTGATCGTTCTCGAATAGAAGCAGCCACTGTTGCGTAATCTTCTAATGATGCCAGATCCTTAAGGTGTTCAGGTGTGGTTGTAAACTGGAAAGTGTCTTCATTAAGAGCTGGTGAAAAATATCCATCGTCGGAATTAAACGATACTCCAAAAAGTTCTGGTCGAAATGTAAAATCTTGCTGTGGTGATGATTGACCTGGATCTGAGGCTGACCTTTTCACTACCTGTAAACAAAATGAAGATTTCAAAATTCAATTAAATGGGATTCTTCGGCGCAATAAGCAAACAAATTAGAGACCTTCGAGTTGCCTTTCTTCAACAGCTCGATAAGGGCTGAGTCTCTGTTAGCGGCAGTAATATTGGTAGCTACATTTGATGCGATGGTGACGACTGAAGGAGCGCGCGGCGGCACGAAGTGTCCGGAGGTGGCAACCGGCGAAGCGGGTGACCCAATAGAAGTCCGTATGGTAGATAGCGGCGGTGGTGCAGGTGCAACAAAACCCGAGCGAGAAACTACGGTGTCTGTAATTGTTCCTGGAATGATAAATTAAAATAAAAGGAGCAGTTATTATCGGTATCATTAAATTTTTCAAATTTATTGAAAATAGAATACATACCAGTTGAAGATGTACAGGTAGCTGTAGCTCCACGACGACTTATGATTTTTTCCTCGATGAGTGCACGAACAGAAACTGATGCAGTTTGTAGTGGAGGTCCTGTAGATTCCTTTTTGTCTAGTTTCTTGTTGTCTGAATCCTGAAGAAAAACATGGTCAGATGAAATTATAATAGTTTGTTTAATATGAAATTGTGTTTTATTTAATACAAATTCGTTAAATATATTTAATTAGTTATTTTTTTGTTTAATATAATCTAAATAAATTGACGTAATTGATACCTTTTTAAAGTAACCTCCATGGAGTCTCATGTGCCCATTAAGAGCAGGGATGTTCTTAAACTTGCGATGGCACAGGTTGCACTCGACTGGTTTCACATCGATGGGGCGGATAACTGATGTGCCCGCGGCGCTCGTTGCTCCGTTTGTCGACGCATTGGCACCACTCCCACTTTTTTGATTTCCATGCTGCGCCTGTGAAAATTTTCGATGACTTTACAAAAGTTCAAAATCTTTCAAACCTATTACGCACTTTGTAATTTGAAGGCATAAACTTTCGATCTTCAGTAGCTCGTTAATATTCCAAGTTAATTAATGGATTTTGATGGACCGGGAATAATCCCCGTCGGTTTTGAAGGAAATTAGTAATTATAGGTCAATCTTACGTTGTTAGTACGAGTACAGTGATTAATATGATTCGAACGTAAGTACAACCTATTGATTTACAAGTATTGCGAGTAGTTTGTGACTTTTATTTGCGGAATTTTCCACACAAAGCGTACGGCGTGCGGCCTGTGGCGGTAGGCGGTGCACTGCAGTTATTCATTCACGTAGAATTTTAATTAGTTGCGGTTTTCCGCAGCACCGCATAATGCCCACGACCGCTCGTATATCACAGGATAACACGACCTAATTACGATGTACCTTACATTGTTACGTAATAAGCCGCGGAGTTCACGGAAAAGCAATGTTACTTTGTCGTTCATATTTAATTCATTGTTCCTAAAAGACGCTGTTCGAAACATCAATCCGACCAAAACAGCATTAAGGTTATTATTAAATTGCCCCTCAGCCCACTCAACTAAGGGAAACAACCACAAAAATAGATTATCCGGGTCATAAATGTATCATTTAGTTTTAACGATGATAGAATACGAGATGAGGACGTCGATAAGCAAATGGAATTAAGGCAGGGTTGTTGCTCGAAGTAAGCGATTGTCTCGGCTCACGAACAATAACTTGGAACGAGACCCTCGACACAGTTTGAGAAGGTGAAATGGCTAAACGACTTTCGGTTATATTCCCTTAAAAGTCGTTAGGGCCTAATGTAGAAGACAACGTGCCCTTCTTAACACAATAAGCTTAGATAGAATGATAGGATTGATTATGCTTGTAGGTCTAAGTTAATTTGTGGGAAGCTTTGTCAATAATACAAAACAGTAAGTTACGATGTAAAAGTAAAACCATTAAGGGAATTAAATCGAATTTTAATTTTCCCTGCAATGGTGTGAATTCTAAGTAGTAGGGTATTTAAACTATTGTACGCTAATAAATCTTAATGCTGCTGATCTCGCGTAAATGCAATAAATGCTTTAAAAAACGAAGGGGTCTTGGCAATTATTGTTTTTATAATTTAAATTTGTAGAATGGCGTTGCGGTTATAGCGAACTACAATGGGTGCAAGAAGATGCATAGTCCAATTTTTAATTTTAGAGAAACACACTGACAGCCACTAATGTAATTTTGAAAAATAACGGTACCATGTTTATTGGATAATGATCTGGTTCTATTGAAAAAGAAATGTTACGATTTTTTTATTATTAATCTGCCAAATATATTTTAGCAGCAGTAGAGCTTCTTGTGAAAGAGGATGTCCAGGGAAGTACTGCCACTTTACCTATATCTGCCTAAGGGTGCTGGTGAAATTGCAGGCACATGGGATTTGTCAACTTATGCCTCAGGATGACGGGCGCAGTGGCAGTGCCCCTCAGATCTTGGCGATTTAAAGTTCTGAGTGGCACAGCAACTGTTATGGACAGGTGTGTAGCTTACCATTAGGCGCACGACTTGTTCGTACCGTCACTTGATATTATAAAAAATAATATTTACGTCTCTATGTACTACTTTTTTCTGATATCAAACTGACATTTTTAAATTTTCGCTAACAAATTATTAAAAAGACAAAATTTGCATTCATGACCTTACTGAGCGAGTCAGTGAAGTAGATTTTTTAAGACAACACTATTTTTATATTTCTAAATAAAAATCTATGATATTTCGGGATACTTCGGGAGCCAAAAGGCGTAAACTTTAGTTTAATTTTAGTTTACAAGACGAGTGAAAATCGACTAGCTATTAAACATTTTAGTTCATGTCATTTTTATATGTATAACTGTTTAGGTAAAAAAAAAACATTTTTGGCGAAACCATTAAACTTTGAGCAGAAAAACCGAAGGCACTTGAAAATTTTATCCTACTATATTAATAACTATTCATATATAATTATTTACTATATTATTTTATTATTTAATTTATTATATTTAATTTATTTTAATATTTACTATATTATTATATTTTATTATTATTTACTATATATTTTTTTTATAAAACTGTATTACGCCTTAAATTTGTCGAAGTATCGATACCTTAACAAATTACCTTTTATGCAAAATTTATTTTTAGGTCCCGAAGTATCTTACTTGCTTACGTAGCAATGTACTAAAAATAGCGATACACGGAAAGACGTAAAAGGAACATTAAATCTTCGCTAATTAAACTGGAAGTTAGCTGAGAGATAAAGTTAAGTTGGCGCAAGTTTTGGACAGATAATTGCTCGCTTGCCTCGCAAGTAGCGTTCATTTTTTCGCTGCTCGAAATTTTTAAATACTTCACTTCGTTAGCTTTTCTTTTAGCACTTCCAGATAAACTTTCTTGAGTTCTGCCTTCAGTAGGTACTTCAATTTTTCAATATACAATTATTAATACAAAGAACGAACACTCAGAAAAAATTCCTTCGATCCGGCCGGATTCGAACCGACGTCTTCTAGCTTACCGTGTCAGACGTTATACTAACTAAGCTACGGAACGAACCAGCGGACCTCACGAATTTTTCTATGTGCTTGCGTCGTGTCTTTGTATTTGGTTTTTCAACGACTTTTTAGTCGTAGCGCCGCCTATGAGAAATCTATGAAAGATTTATCACCCAGTTAGTACCTTTACAGCTACCAGTCCTGGCGAGAGATGTCGCTATTTGTTGTATTGTAAAATTAAAATACAGCGAATAGCGACAATATATAATATATAATATTTGTATTAATAATTATAACAAACTAGAGGAATAACTTCACAAAAAATGATTGAATATCAATTCATAAAAAATTTCAATACATGTTTAACGCATAGATCCTTTTTTCTTTATAATTGATGAAAACCTTAGACCATAGAGTACTCCTATGATTTAAGGCATACTAAATAATAGGAAGGATAGATGTTGATGGTATATCATATAATTTTATTAATCTACCTGATCAGTTCCGTAAAATTTTAATTTTAGTTAAGAAAGTTTATGTTTATAGTAATTACATTGTTAACAGTAGATTAATTAATACATTGACAACTTGTTTATAAATGTGATAAGTGAAGATAACAGCGTACCTATTAATTTAAAGGTCAGTGCGAATACACTGAGTTTAAAATATGATCTGCCGCAGTAAGAGCAGAGATAACCGTTTTTTGTCAGTTGACAAATACGCGAACCAGGACACATGTTCAGGGTCGGGTGTGTAATTTATTTGATTTGGTTTTTTTTGGAGTGTGGCGCAGCCCTAACGGCGGCCATTAGGGCAGTAGCTCGTTAGGTTAATGCTCAGAGGTACCAGGCGTGCAGATGTTCGTAGGAGGTGGCGGGGCGGCGAGCGCGAGCGTTTTTGCCATATATCATCCTTGTACCGCAGTTAACTCCACTCTGCCCTGGTTTTTTGGAGCGAATGGTTTTGTTATAATGCAGCAAGAGGCATTGCGATGGCTTAGATTTGTTGAGCTTTGTAACTTGTCGTGTTCATGGCTGTTTATTTAATATTTTCCGGGGAGTTTTATTGTTATACTCTAGTACACTATTTCAGATATAAGAATTTCTGAATATCTAAATGAGATCTACAACACCATCTAATCGGTTTTTTGATATGTTATTTAGTTTCAGTTTTATTGTTAAGCAAAATCAGTGCACATAAATAAAAAAAATAACATTGTTGCAGATGGCAATAAAACTTTAGTTAGCAATGTCTCGAAAATTACCAAAATGCAAATGCTTTAGTTATGATAAGGCGCATATAATCGAAACTTTTTACAATTATCGAGGTCGACTTGGAATAAAACGTTATTGACATTAGAATGTACCTGCATTATATTTAGACAATTTTATAAATTTTATAAAATTACGTACCTTGTTATTTTTTAGAGTAATTGGATGAAAAAGTTGCGTTATCCAATTATCCATGATTTTCACTTTCGGTAAAAAGTTATTCAAAAATATACAAACAAACTATAAATTACATAATGTCACACGGACAACAACACAAGTGATAAGCTCTCTAATTGCAACAAAGATGAACCGGACTATTTTGATCGGAATACCTAAGATAAAAAAGGTAATAGATGTTTGTAATGATTATCTGTAACACTAATGACACACGAAAACGCAAGCTCAAATAACATAGAACGCAAAAGGTCTCCACTAATGATGTTTATCTCACGATATTCGAATATAGAATGATCTGCACAATGGATGGGAAAGATATCTCGCAGATGACCCCTCGATGAGAACCGCCGGCCTCGCGAATTATAAGATAAAGGTACATAAACTTGCCCAAGCGTATACAAAAGAGAAGTTGCTGTTACCAAAGTGATTTGCATTCGCTTTCATTGCGCGTTCTCTTCAAAAATCTATTAATTCTTCACTGAATAGATTCAAAAATGCAAATCAAGTTGCTATTTGTATAGGTCATTGTAATTTGCAATTATTCCCACAAGATCGGCGTTATTAGTTGACCAGTAGATGATAATATAATGAGTGGTGTCTGAGACAGGTATTATTAAATTAAAAATTATACATTAAAAATTACTTTCTAAAATCTAAAATGCATAACACACAATATACCCGTATGTACATTCAGTATTGCTTGTGAGAAAGACTTTCACAATACGCGTATTATTATAGACGTCGATCATTGCCGTATGTTATATTACTGATGTGTAAATAATATGGAAATGGAAACAAGTAAATAAGGACGTAGATACAATATACACAAGCCATGATACCAGTCTTCGTGTACTGAGACCGGTATATAGATATACTTGTCCGCAAGAATATTTTCGGATCTCAATTGGGTAACTAATTATTGTTAAACTTTTTTTTAATGGTATTAAGTGTTGGGACGAACAAATCGTGTGGCTGGTGTTAAGCGACACGCCAGTCC